AACTAAAAGTCCCCCAGTCTTCCAGCTTGCATAGCCAGCTAGCTGGATTCCTCTACAGTCAGAGGTGGGCAACTCTGATGGCTCCAAGCTTTGGACAGGAATTCCTTTGGGAATCAGGTATCTTGGTTCAATCCTTCACCTAAGCAAAATCAGGACTGTGTTATTCCTACCTCATCCAATTTCAGATGAATATTATACACAAAGAGAAATAAAACAACTGACAATGAGCAGTGCAGCCATTGCGCAAAATTATCACAATGGCAGATGATGATTTCCTTTGGTACTTCTGGGAACACGGAAGCTGTAGACTAAGCCAATCATGGGTGAAACTTTCCATAATCAGAATGCTCTTTCCAGCAGTCTTAGCTCAGCTCATAAAACAGCAGAAATCAAATGGGTAGCTATGAATGAATTGTTTTTCCTTGACTTTTGGTTCTCGATTTCTAAATCTTCTTGATTTCAGTAAATGCAGTGAGGAACTAAAGTAAAGTACATAGGAATGTAGAGTCTTCTTAGATGTTAGCATAGCTTTCCATTGTGTTATGATTCATACATAATACTAAGATCATGGAAATATAGGATGTTGGAGAGTGTTTTCCACCTCCAAAAACCAAAGTCAGCATAATGAGAAAGATTACATCAGGCTACCAGATAACAAGGGCAAGATGCCATACATTCCCTCCATTGAAAAAAAATGGATGTGTCAGATTCCCAGAAAACATCCTGTGTAGATACTCCAAAAAAATTATTTGAATGGCTACACCCTGGACAAGGTTTGCAACATATGTTCTGCATGCAACCGTTCCACTCCCATGGTATGTATGTACCCAGAGCATAAATACATAAAACATGGAGCAATAATTCAGACAAGATCAAGTAAAAGGGCCAAGTTCTAAATTGTCTGGGACCATTCATGTATCTGTCTGGATAAGTCCTGGTCCATTTCTCTCTCTGGGGCCATATCACTAGCTAGGAATCACAAAAATCAGTCAGCTTTTGAGCATTGTTTTTGTGAATATGAGAAAATATTAAAAATAAATTAGGAGCACTGCTCTCAGAATTTGCCTTTGCCTTTGTTGGTTAGTGTTTTTGGAGATGGGTAAGAGTTACCTCTGTGGAAGAACAAGGAAAAGGCTGTGTAGTTCCCATGATTACACAAATATAAGAGTGGGTGATACCTTTTGTTGGACCACTTTTTTAAAAAATCAAATGAATTGCAAGCTTTTGTGAAGAAAATTCCTTTTTCAGGCATAGCATAACCCCTGTGTGGATAGTGGAGAAAAACTGTAGATAAGAATACAAAAATGTACTGCCGATTTTTGGACTCTTGTCTATAGTTTTTCTGTACTGTCCATGAAAGGGTTGTGCTAAGCCTGAAAATGTGTCATTTGCTCTGTGGAAGGTGAGCATGCCTATTAGTTTCAATTTTCATTTTTACAAGCACGTATCTCAAAATCTATATTGTAAGATGTGTTGAAATGTCATTTTTGAGAGGCTGTGTATGTGCATTTGTGATGTCTGACATGTTCAGCTACATTCTAAAAGCTGGTTGATATTTACTGTTTGGGCCACACCCTCATATACTGTTTGTAGTTGTACATGCAAATTGAAAAGAGATTTTCTCATATTATACTTTGCATAATTTAATTCAAAAATTTCTTCCATGTAATGTTCACATCAGTGGCCTCCACACAGTAGTTCTATGTGTGCCTAAGTACATATTGACACATTCAGAGAGAATTATCCATACAGAAGTGTGTGACGGAAATTAGTCCAAGTGCAATATTTCATTTTTCTCTCAAAGCTCCTAGTCCCAGGGGAAAACATTTGACCCACCACATAACAACGAACTCCTGTCATGCTTCACCATTGGCCAGGCTGGGTAGGACTGAAGGGAACTGGAGTTCAACAAGAAATGTGGTGAACCATGGATTCTTTTACCCTGTTGTATTCCAAACATACTCTCTTAAATGTTTGTTGTTGTTTCAGTTAAACTTTATCCAATTATATTGCAAACAGCAAACAATTCACACAATTTAACTTTAATTTGTGGCATATGCTTGGTGTTAAGGATTTCCTTGTCATTTAATCTGATATAGTTCTGCACTGGGGCACTTATATAACAAACCAATATGAAGACAATCTCAGGATGCTTTTGTATGAAAGTACAGAATCAAGGCTGTGAAAACAGGGCCTTTTTTTCTAGACAGCCACAGCCTTATTTCTTGACTATACTGTTCCACAAGGTGATCTAGTCATGATGACATCAAAGAGGTTAATATTTTGAGGACTGTAGAAACACAAGCTGACCAGCAAAGGATGCCCTTTGTTCTATTTCAGAGCCAAAACAGTCTACGTTCAATCAATAGAAAGATGTACAACATTTCCAAATGCATAAAAGACTGGAGTGTGGTTTTTTTTTCCATTCAGTGTAGGGGGATGCATTGTCCATGGATTGATCTTGCTTTGACTAAAGACAGAGTAAGAAAGAGAAGTGTTTGGCATAGTGGAGCCTCACTATGGCAAAATTTAAGACACCCCAGCAGGGCAGTGATAACAGGAGGCTGAGTGAACCCACTGTCTCTTTCAGCAAACACTATAGGGAAGCTGTGCTCATGTCCCAGCCATTCCTTTCAATTGGAGAACACAGCAGTGTGTGCCACACAGTCTGTCTTGTATTTTCTAAACTAGCTTGCTGCCCTCAGGTATGGCAGAGGACCCTATCCTGTGCTTTAACAGTGTTAAAAGAAGAGCAAAAGTAAGCCATCTGATGTCTATCCATGGGATGCAGATGGGAATTACCGTATTTTTCGCTCCATAAGACGCACAGACTTTCCACCCCCCTGTTTTGTGGGAAAAAAGTACGTCTTATGGTGCGAAAAATACGGTACATCTTGTTTTTGGCTTGATTTGCAACCTAGCATAAATTAGTAAACACCTGACTTCCCTTATAGCATATTGGCGGTCTGTTTATTGATCTCAATGTCAGGTTTACTTATTGAGTTAAGAACTAGGCCAGAAACCAGTCAAAAACTTGTAAATAACTGCAGGCTGTCAGACATACCCATTTTAGTACTCCTTGGAGTAATCTTTCCTGAAAAGCTCATTTGTCTGCACAAGTGAATGCTTGTTAATCTGGAGACAACTGCCAAAACCTATTGTGACAGAACCATTTGTTTCTAAATGTTCCTTTGTCTTTACTCACAGCTTCAGGAATAAACTTTATAAACAGGCAATTTTCACCTGCTGATCTTAGGAAAGCAGAAATCGTAGGCATACATGGATTTAAAGTTAGAAGGACAATGAGGGTGAGAGAACAAAACAACATTTTAGTTGTAAAATAATTAAATATATTTATTTCAATAAGAAAACATGCATATTTATGTACACTTTTAAAAATCAACATTTACATCCCAATTCTTTTATACAATTCTGTAGTGAAATAACGCAGTGGATATGGACTTTGCAGAAAGAATAATCTGTATATTATAAATGGTGGGAACAACCAGTTCACGATCCTTTCAGCAAGGCATCTGCATCTGAAATATATTATTGGTAGTACTAAAGTGAGCTGATATCAGTGGGGAAAAGTTATACTCCTAAATGCTTTTACTTAGAAATAAATCTCTGCAAAGTCAATGGAACGTCTTCCAAATATATTTTAGATCAAAGTATGAAGCACCTTGTAGACCAGTCATAAACACATTCTCTAGTGTGAGGCCACCGTCACACTAGAGAAATTCCCCCCTTCTTTCTCAAATCTTCCACTTCCTATATAGTCGTGCATTGTGGTCACATGGCATATATCCTGCAATAGTGGTTCATACTTTTTTTAACTGTTCCACTTCTGGGTGGTGAGTAAGATATGGTACGTTCATCTACACACCTTAAGTGGGATGTATCCCCTTCCTTTTCTTGTGAGTTCCCTGCCCCACTTTCTTGTGTGTGGGGGATATATCAATGTGTCAGCAAAATGCCCTTGCTGGCCATGTATAGATCTGGGCCATTTTGTCCTCTTTCCAGGCTCTGTTACCATCTATGTAGGAGAACTCACAGCCCACTGGGGTGGTGGTCAAAAAGCAGTAGGGTGACAGAGGCTCTGTATTTGACAGAAGTATACCAATGTGCCAACATCCTCTTTTAAAAAGTAATTTAAAAAATTAAGGGAGTCGAACAACAGTGGGAAACAGTGGGTGAGGATGTGGGACTACATGCCAGATGCATAGAAAATTAATCAGTTTTGGAGTGCACACTCAATAGGACATCGGTTGTACTGAATGATGAAAAGTGGATCAAATATAGTAGTAGCCTCCTGCCAGTCTGGATTTGATACAGAGATAACAAATCGTCAGTTGCACTGAATGATGAAAAGTGGAACAAATATAGTAGTAGCCTCCTGCCAGTCTGGATTTGATACAGAGATAACAAATCGATAATGGTCATGAGTCACCTGAACACACACCAAAAAAGGTCAAAATTTATGAGGAATAACTAGGAAACATTTTGCTCATGTCATCGCATCCTGACTTAGGGACTTAATGTTGCAATTCTTAATGCAAACCATAAGTGGAAGGGCACTACAGTGGTGCCCCGCTTGACGACGATAATCCGTTCCAGGAAAATCGCTGTTAAGCTAAATCGGCGTCAAGCAAAAAAAAACACATTGGAATGCATTGAAAACCGGTTAATGTGTTCCAATGGGGAAATACCTTAACATCCAGCGAAGATTGCCCATAGAGAACCGCTGATCAGCTATTTAAAATTGCTATCTTCTGAAGCAGGGGTCCAGAAAACAGCCATTTTGGAAAGGGAGGGAAGCCATTTTGTGAAGGGAAGCCATTTTGTGGAGCCAGAAAAAACATCATTTTGTGAACAAACGGTTCGCAAAGCAGGCACCTAATCGATGTAAAGCGAAAAAAACCCATAGGAACCACTGTTTTGCGATCGCTACAGCAATTGCAAAAAGCTCATCGTCAAGCGATTTTGTCATCAAGCAGGGTTGTCATCAAGTGGGGCACCACTGTATCTTGAATCATTTGAAGATTCCATTCTGTCTACTGAGAAATATTAGCAACCATTGAAGAAGGCCGCTTAAGAATTGATTCAACAGAAAACGAAAGGGGCTCATTTGTTGACAACTTTGTTACAACTTGTTTGGATCCTAAAAAGTCTTTTGCATATCTGTCAATGGTGAGTTTGTATTTTTGATTTTCTTTGATGGCACAGTCTCTGTACTTCTTTGTCGCCTCATCAAATGTTGTTTTCAATTCTGGTCCTGATTTGCTGTATAATGCCTGTTGAAATAATGTATGGAAAGGAGTATATTTGGATTGTAGTGGCGGTGGTGATAAACGCTGCTTGGAGGTTTCTTTGCTAACCTTGCTGAGGGACTGATCCTGAGGAACCAGATTATCTTTATCTGAGACCTGTGAGAAAGTCCTCTTTGGGGGTGAAAAGGCCGACCTCTCCCGAGTCTCCTGAGCATTGTGCAGCAGTTCATTTTGAGGAGGATGACTTTCTCGAATATGAGGAAGGAAGAACCAGTTTTCATTCTTTGCCGACATCATGTCATGTTCAGGACTGGCACAGTCCTGGCCTTGTGAAGCCTTTGGATCCCAGACTGCCGCAGGTTTGAGAGTTTGCATTGCTGTAGCATTTAGGAGGCACTGCTGGTAAAGAAGAGCATCACTGAGGGGTGCACATTTTGGCCACACCAGGAACCTGGAGGGCAAAGGGTACTGCCTGTAGGTAGTGGCTACACTCACATTCGATGAAATAAGCTCCATGTTGCCTGAACCTGAATACTGCATAGTTAGATCTAGGCAAGCTGGCATGAAGCCGCAGAACTCCTTACTGGAAGCTTCAACCTGACTTGGGCTAAAGGCAGTTTTGTAAGGATTGTATTCAGTCCCATGCACCATGCGGTTAGGCAAAAAAAAGGCAGCCGCTTGAGTAGCTTCCATCATTTCTCTTTCCTTATATTCTCTCTCAAGCATGATGTTCTCCAGCTCTTTGTCAGCAAAAGCCCGTCTCTTTCTCATTCTATCACTCACAGGAGGTGGCAAAGATGAATTCCCTCCAAGATACGGATCTGTCACAACTGGGCGATAACCTGAGAAAACAAAAAGGAATTTGTCAATTTGAACATTGTCATAGTCTTATAAAAACAAAATAGATAAAGTGCTAAGACAGCTACATAGGCAAAGAGCCCAGTATCTGCTGCATTGCTGTCATTGGCATCCTCAATTCCCAACAACACTTCATATTATGTGTGCGACAATCTGAAGCATTCACAATGTTTTAGGAACCTTATAAATGGGTGGCTTCAAACATTGTGGAGATAAGGAGTCGGGAAAAAAATCAGTGAATTCCACTTTACCATGCTTTCAAATTAATAACCAAAACAAAATCTGTGCACATATGTCTGATAAGATTTATAACCTATCTTTGCAGCAGTTCACACGTCCTACTATAGGAGGTCGTGCACAAGCTGTCATTCTGGCAGTGCCCAAGAGGATCAAAAGCTGGAAGCATGAGAAGTAGTACATGATTCTGGATTGAGTGATTCCTTTCTTAGATTGCTGAAATATTACTAACATGGCAAGGTTTCAAGTTCTTCAGGACTCTTCTTCTGGCTTAGAAGGTACTAATTTCAAGAGGAAGGAAGAAACAAACATTCAAAACTTTAAAAGCCTGGCTAGAACTCTTGAAAGTTTGCCATGTTGGTAACATTTCAGGGATTCAATAAAGGTATTGCTTAACATGAGATCTGTTTCCATGTAGGGATCCTACAGCTACTTTTATTTTTTCTAAATGGTGCATGCTTTCTTCACCCACCACAATTATTTTTGAATACCAAAGCCAGACTGTTAATCACACAATAACCTCATATGACAGGACAGGACCTTGATATCCCCATTTTACTGTTTTAATTCTGTTTCTTTGTTGAGACCCATATAATATCATTTCCAAAAATGTCTATACCTACAGATGGTGCATTTTTTATTCTCAAAGATGACTCACTATGTACACAGAGCTGGCAGAAAAAAAATCCAAGGAGTACTAGAAGAAAAGAGAAAGAAAAGTAAGACAAATCAGGAGAAAAGATGTGAGAAAGATCCTTCTCAACAGACAGCATCACGGAGAGAATCTGAATATTGGGCTACAAGTGACAGAAAGAGTTTGAAACAGAGAGAGAAGAATGGGATCATTATAAATATATTCAAAGGCTGCAATCCTACACTCTCTTAACTGGAGTGAAAAGCTCAAACTAAGTTCAGTGTACAGTATTCTCTAAGTTCAGTGTCCTTACAGCTCAACAGAGATTTACATCACTTTAGCATGTTTTAACTTCTCTTCATGGATGGCTTGATTACTAATTACACAATCATTATCTGGAAAAGGAGGAGATCCAATCCCAAGGAAGAATTAGCACTTCAAATTATAATGAATGACTGGTACTAACCTAAGAAAACACAGAACACTATTTGGCCCACTATTACTATCAGCCTCCATCTAATCTGATTAAGAGGCACAGTATATCTATTTTCAAGTGTCACTGCAGAACAGTATTGTATTTGTATTCCACGTTACTAATTAACCAGCTGTACTCTTCTCTAACCACTGGGCTGTCCCTGGAAGGAGTGTTGCACAAGCTGTTATTCTGGCAGTGTTATATAATAGAAGAAGACTTGTTATAATATTACAGTGGTGCCTCGCATTATGAGCGCTCCATTTGATGACAAAATTGCATCACGACGAAGATTTAGTGATTGCAAAAGCGACTGCAAAACCATGTTCCCTATGAGGGAATTTCGTTTTGCGATGATCGGTCCCGTTTTGCTACCCAATTATCGCAAAGCGATGATTTTCGGACAGCTGATTGGTAGTTTCAAAATGGCCACCAGGTGAAAAACATGGCCTCCCGCTGTTTTCTGGCATGGATTCCTTGCTGCATGGGCAGCGAAAATGGGCGCGCTATGGAGAATTTTTACTGGACTGTGAGTTTTAAGCCCCTAGGAATGCATTAATTTGGTTTTAATGCATTTCTATGGGCTTTTTAAAATCGCATGATGATGTTTTCATGCGACAGCGATTTTTTCAGAACGAATTAACGTCGTCATGCGAGGCACCACTGTAGCTGTTTTGATTTTATCACTATATTTTGATATTATTGTACATTGAAATAGGAGGAACTGTATTCAGAAAGGTGGGATAGAAATAATTTAACAAAATAGATAAATAAACATATACATAATCTTTCTATTGATGTATACATACAGCTGTGGAAATATGAATGAAAATTAAAGCTGGTTCAATTTCCTACTTGCTCTTCAAAGATTTTGCAACATCGTTGTACTTTAAATTCCATTTATCTGGGACTACAATGTGGACATATTTTTTTTGCCCTTAATCTAAAATAAATTGCACTGCTTATATATCATTCCATAACACTTAAAGCACTCCATGGGCAGTTTACGCATTGTACTCCACAGCAAGCAGGATAATCTAGCATGTTACCTATGTGTGTGTGGCATGCTCACATCTGCCTATGTGTGTGACCACTGCATAGCTGAAGACTAGGAATACTGTAAGTATACACACACACCCAAAATTAATTGATTACACATAGAATTACTGTTTCAACTAGGATATGTGAAGTCCAGTTATACGTATATTTACTCAGATGTACGTCCTACTGAGTTCATTGGGATTTACTCCCAAATCTTGTGTGTATAGGCTTGAAACAGTGCAGTCCTCTACATACCTAACCAGACGTAAGCCTCATCTAATTCAATAAGACTTGTTCCCAGCAGGGGCTGATCTAATAGGAAACTAAGGAAACTTAATCTTCAGGGCCCCTAATCCCAAAGGGGCACAAGAAGCAATTTTTTTAAAAATTGGGATTTGTTGTGGAACAATCTTACACGAGAAGACAACAGCAGCTACCCAGACCTTGTCGGTGGTTGGAAAGGGGCTCCATAACAGTTGGGTCCACCACTGGTTCCCACGTAATTCTATCTGGAATTTTTATAACCAAGAATTGCATGTAGACATCAACTGTCCCACTGTAGTAGTAAATTTCACTGAGTCCAGTAGGCAATGTTGAGTGCATTTTTAAAAGTGCATATAGGTGTGTGATCCAAATGCAAGCAAAAATAGCTTTTGAAATTGATTTTAACAAGGGTGCATTCTTATAATATTTAACATCAGCATTTTAAAAAAATAAGTCAGAATAATCAAATTCATCTCAGATAAAAAGGGGCTGTACTGATGTTATTTCTTCCTAACAACTTAAAACTAATTATTTACTTAAGAAGTAAGATAATCAAATAACAGCATTGGCTTTGACATCAAAACTGATTTGGTTGTTCATGTCAAATAAAAAATGAAGGTTTGTTTTAAAATCTAATTTCCTCAGTTCTTGCCTCAGAGAAGAATTAAGCCGACTCTATGCTTGTTTCTAGCAGCATAGCAATTCCTCAATATGGTTTCTGGTGAATTTTGATTCTTTTTGTGGTGAGGGTGCAGTTATCAACACACTTACATTCACAAAGGTCCCACTTATTTTCCAGCCAGAGTTAAACCACCTGGTCACAAACCACAGAATCAGTTGTTCTTTGGCCCACAGAAATTGGTATTGTATTTTGGTACACTATTTTTTATTTTTATTTTTACAAATGTGGGGGTGGACATTTCAGATAAATGACAACAGACACCTAGTGAAGTACATAAAGGCAGAAAAATTCAAGTGTCACAGCATATTACCTTCTAAAATGCTTTTAGCCAGCAAACTTGGTGTCCGAACATGCCTCTGGTATACTGTCTTGCGTTCGAAGTTAGCCTGTTTCCCTGTAAGTCCTTTCTTATCCTGGTTTTTTAAAAAAAGATATTTTTTCATTCAGAGGATTCTTCACAAATTATTTCTTTCTGTAATTAATCTGCACTAGTTGTAGCTGTAGCATGGACAGAATGTCTGCAACTTTTCCTAATTTATAAGAGCTTCAGGTGGCCTGCTGTAAACACATGCCTTGAGAGCAAGTCCCTTGATTGTAATGCAGTTCTTTCTTTTTTTAGCAGCTTTTTAGCCTCTAGGTGTCAAGTTGTGACTCTGTAAGAACACTGGAAGAGCCTTAATTTTGAAAAAGTGGAGACAAATGTTGGAGCCAAAGTTAAACCTTAAGTTAAATTTTGACTGGAATTTGCTGCATGTGTTTACACAAGAGACGTTAGGAAACAAATCAGAGTGAATGGAGAATACACTAGAAATTTCCTTTTTCTATTGTAAATGGCTCCTCTTGTTGTCTGCTAAATACTACAACATGCTTTAATTTGGCAAAATCTAATTAAAAGTCAGAGACATTCATAACTGTGTTTAGTCTCATCTGGCTGATTGATTATACATGGATCAACCAAGAGGGTTTTAATTGAAGGTTTGAGGGACAACCTCGGGTGGATATGAATTCACTGAAAAATGAACCCAGATTGAAACAGATATGTCAAAAAGGAAACTTGCTGAAACTTTTTTCCTCAGATTATTCCAAGTTGCTGTGCAGAGAGGTTTCAGTTAATGCCATTTAAAGCATCTGTACTTATGTACATATGGCACATGATGGTGGTGATCTAAAAGTAGGAATCCTGAAAACTGTGGCCAGTATCCTATTATCCTATCTCAACTAGAAAGTAGACCCACTGAATCAATAGCTGAATGGTAAATCAACAGTTATGCAAATTCGGTTGACTCCGTGGGTCTACTCTACCTGAGAGCAGTAACAGGATAGGGGCTTCAGTGTTCAAACATCCTGAAAAGAAGATGGGGACACTTCACTTTAATTGCTTCAGTTTGGATTTGTTTTCAGGAAATCCATGCATGATCCCTACAGGCCATCCATCTCACCTTTAATTAAATCCTTTCCAGAGGCTGGAAAACCAAGCAAAATTATAAGAGATGCTGCATTGGAAATGAGGAAGTATGAGGATCCGTCGATTCATACATCCACAAAAGCTTGGATTAAAACCGAATCGGTCCCTTTAAGACACCGCGGCGTCAACAATCCGCAAGAGGATCGGGACACGCCAAGAGGAAACCAGCCTGGGCTTAAATCCAAGTACCTTAACAGCTGCCAAGCGCTTTCCTGCCTCCATAAGTTGTGACCACGATTGCTATCATGTATCAATGGGCTGATGAAAAGAAGTAGCCTTCATTAAGAAGGGATTTCTCAACGTTGGGCGCATTTCCTAAACGACACCGGCTAGTGTCAATCTGGACAAATCCCCTCGCCCTCAGCCTCAGCGCAATACTGTATCTTGAGTCAACCCAAGCCGTTTTGCTGCCTGAGGCAGAGCACCGAACACTCCTCCCTCCCTGCCAGTCCAAGCGCACTAATAATACCCAAGGCTGATCAGGTTATTTGGCCAGAAAAATGCCACCACCTCCCTCCCTGCTCCGCCACAATCAAAGGAAGGGCAAATTGCTACTCCCTAGCAACACCCTGGCTCACTGGCCTGAGGCGGCTGCTGCCCACCTCGGCCTCCTGGCGGAGCGAAGTCTGGCCCAGTTCCCGAACTCTCTTCGTTTGCCTGCTTGGGGGGCGCCGCTCCGGACAGCACCTTCAGGGGAAAGGGGGCCCCCACTAACTAGCCCGCCCCTTGGGAGTCCGCTGCCCCGGTCCTGCCACTCCCTTTACCAGGAAGCTCGCTCCCTGGGCTTCCCAGCGGGCGCAGCCCGTGGCGAAAAGGAGTGGCGCTTGACTCCGGGGTCACCCACGTTCTTACTTGGACTTGGCAGCGCTGCCTGTTCCTCCGCCTCCTTTCCTTCCGGAAAAGGAAGGTGGGGCGGGAGGCCTGTGAGAGCGGGGAGGGGGGCGGAACCTCCTTTCCCTCTGCAGCCGCGAGGCGGGCACTCACCTCAGTGGCCTGCTGCCTGCGGAGGGCCACCTGGGCGGCCATGACGCGCTGCCGCTCCACGACCAGCAAGCAGTTGGCGCACTGGCAGTCCCGCCAGCGGCAGAAGCGCTTGTGGCCTTTCAGGCACGAGACCACGCCGTGGTTGCGGCAGCGCGCGCACTTGGGCGTCCGGCTCAGCTTCCGAGGCTGCGGCTCCCCGCCGGCGGCTACAGCCCCTCTTTCCGACGCCGGCGCAGCGACGAGCTGCTGGCCCTGAGAAAGGGGAGCCTCCTGCGGAGTCCGGCTGGCCGAGCCCTCCTGCTCGCCGCCACCGCCGTCGTCCTCCTCCTCCTCGTCGTCGTCCTCGTCCTCGTCCTCGTCCTCCCCATTTTCCTCCTCCTCCTCCTCCTCCTCTTCCTCCTCCTCCATGCCTTCGTGTCTCTCGCCGCCCTGACCAGACTCTGCTCTGGGTCCGTGCTGTTGCGCGGAGGACGCCGCCGGCTGCTGGGCCTCCTCGCGCGGCTCCTCCAGGCTCTCCACGTCGATTTCTCGCCGCCCTGACCAGCCTCTGCTCTGGGTCCGTGCGGTTGCGCGGAGGACGCCGCCGGCTGCTGGGCCTCCTCGCGCGGCTCCTCCAGGCTCTCCACGTCGATTTCCCAAACGTCCCCGCCTCGGACAGCCTCCTGCTGCTGCTGGTGGTGCCGCCCGTCGGCCATGGCTTGCGCCGCGTGGCTCTCTGCTTCTCCTTTCGCCCGCTCACTGGAGGGCACACCGGGAAGAGAGGGAGAGGGAGAAAACCCGCCCCACCGTTCAGTTAGGGCCAGCAGTGAGTGAGGAGAGTCCGGCTTCCCCTGTCGGCGCCCGCCCTGCGTCCCGCTCGTTCGGCTACCACGGAAAACGCTTAGGAGGCAAACCACCCACCCACTGGGGAGCGCAACCAACTGCAGCCAGTGGGGATCCCTTCTGAGTTGTCATGGGGGACCCATTTCGCTACAGTTCGGAGGGACGTTTGAGTAAGCGTAACTTTAGGGTAAAATGTGACACCTCGCACAGCAAGCACACGCCTGCTCTCGTTCGCTCGCTCTCTCTCGTGAGGCAAAAGGAAGCAGTTGCCTGAGTGCGTAGGCGCTCGAGGGCGCACAGCATCATTAAAACTGTAAATGCCAAGTGACTGCTCTGCAGCCCGCTAAACTTCCCTGATGCTGAAAAGTGTTCAGCCGCCCATCCACTGAGCTTTTTTGTATACGGAATCAGGTTGGGATGCGGGAGAGACTGACCATCTTGCCCTTTGCCTCACTCAGACAGCGAAGTGTTTTGTGTCTCCTCTCTCCGTGCCGGCTCTGTTCCCTTCAGCCTCCCCGCCCAGAGACCTCCAGCTAGGATTTTCAGCGGATTTGCTCAAGCCGCTTTCCCCTCAACCCTCACACCGTTGGCTCCACCCCAGGGCACTCACCGCTCCCGCAGCCCAGCCGGCGGGTTCTTCTCCCGCCACAGTTCCGTGGGGAGTTCCCGCCCTAAAGATTCCGGTTGTCACCGGATCCCCTCGCCCCCCATCCACCCACTTGTGCTGCCTCATGGCGGGAGCTTACTTAGGGGCAGCGGGAGAAGCAATGGCTTGACAGCAAACGCGGAGGGGCGCCCTAAAGGAGTCTCAACCTGCGGCTTTCCAAACATTCGCACGTTCTCTCTTCAAACACACACCCAGGTTCTCAGGCCCGCAAGAAACCGGCTCGAAGAGAGAGCGCCTGCCAGCAGCCTTGCTAGAAACCCTGCAGAGGAATCCGGAAGCCTCTTCTCTCTCCGCAGTTAAACCGCCTTCGTCGTAAGACCTTACAGGGCCCACCCCAGATGGACGTGGTCGCCCCCGATCACTCTCCCCGCTCTCATCCTCCAACGCGCGCCCGCGCACAGGCGTCCCTCTCCCGAACTCAAGAGAGAGTAAGTAGGAGGGATCCCCAAATTAAAAAAAGGTACTTATTTCACATCTCTCTCGCATACACGGGGAGCGGTTGCCTGTTGTGGTTATTTCCACTGGCAGTCTTCCTCCGCTTTGAATGACTTGTGATCAGGAGAAATTCAGTCACCTCGCTTGGCACATCACTGTATTTCCAGTGACAACTCGGGCTTTTAAATCAACCTTTTTGTTTCTTTTTAAATTTCATGTAGGAGTGGATTTACCAGTTTCACTCTTCCAGTGAGCCTCCATGGCTAAGTGGAGATTCGAACCCAAACCGCCTGAATCTAGTCCATCGTCACTCTCTCCACTACACGACACTGGATATCACACTACCGGGGTTTTTAACTAAATATCGGCAAGATAATCTGTTATGGAATCCCTCT